GCTCTTTTTTGTAATATATACAATGGTTGAAGTGAGCTTTTGTATGTATTTCCCCAGTTTTCAACGCCATACTCTAAGTATGGTAAAATCAATGAAGAATACAAAATATGTAGTGCTTTCCCGTCCAAAATATATCTAACCCTTGCCAATATCGATATATTTTTTGCTATTTTGTTCTGAGCATATCTGATATGAGATTTCCAGGAGAATTTGTCATCAACTATGACACCTAGAAATTTAATTTCATATACTCGTTCTATATTAGCTCCCCCAATTTTCAATTGAAGTTCATTATCTAGTCTACGATTCCCAAATACCATATATTTAGTTTTATTCAAATTCAGAGATACTATATTACTGTCACACCATTTCTTTATCTTCTCAAGTATGAGTGGAGAACGTGGACTCGTGACATGGATTAACTGTATAGTGTTTTTGTTTCTGTAGAGCATCTGCAGAGGAGAAATATGGCAAGGAACTGGTCGCCATCGCCCGCAAAGCTGGGGGCTTATATGAGATCTGGTAGGTGTGCGTGCTGGTGCATATGACTTTAGCTCTCTGACCAGTACATTTATTCTGCAGGGTTGGACTCACAGAAAGCTTTTCAATGCATGGACTTTCACCATTTTCTAATGTTTTCCTGTGTTTGGTTTGTCTTCACAGCACTTTGAGAGCATCTTTTGATGAAATGAAAACACGTAAGCACAGTATTTCTTGTATTATTTGCAGGGAGTATTTTTGTTAAAATACCAATCAGTTGTGAGTTTTTAGTTGTGTGTTGTGGTGTTTTTCAGAAATGGAAAACATAGGAAACCTGCACATTTACCTTTCTGGACTTCTGAAGGAGGAGGTGAAGAGAATGGAACAGTTCAGAGAGCGACAGAAAGAGCAGAGGAAAAAGGTACCCATTAAAAGTATGCCTTTAGTTTCTCATTTGCATCCGGAGGAAGTCTAAAAGCAGAGGCATGTCTGTATGTGGTTTTCTGATCATAATGACTGTTTTATATTCTGTTTTTTACATCATAGTTTGAAGCGACCATGGAGAAGGCCCAAAAGACAAAAGTCTCCCTCTACAAGAAAACAATAGAAGTAAGGTTAATTCACATGATCTATTTGTGGAATGTGTATTTTGTTTCAGGCTGTAGTTTACGTTTTGTGTGAAATTTACACCAAAGTCATTTCAGTTTCAGTGAATGCATTTATACTCTTTACATAACTGTGGCAGAAATAAAGATGCATGACTCAAGCCTGGACTGCTAGTTTTAGTGCAGGTACATCCTGCTTGTACAATATCTGTGAAAAAAGTGCATGAAATGCACTGTAAGAAACTGACTCACTTTTTAAAGACAAAAAAAAAAGCTTTGTAAGATGATAAGCAAATGCCATTGATAACACAGCATGAGAAAGAAGCCTGCAGAAGAAGGAAGTGAGTTGTCACTTGATGGACTGTATTTTTCCACACATGCATGGCACATAGTTCTAAACGGTAGTCCCCCGCACTCCAATCCCCGCTCCTCCCCTTTCCTGTCAAGAGCTCATAGAACTAATGATGATGTACCAATACACTGGTGTTATAGTTTCTGTTCTGTTTCCTTTGTAGTCTAAAAAAACCTATGAGCAGCGCTGCAGAGAAGCAGATGACACAGAGCAAATGGCTGAAAAGATGGGTAACACTCAAAATGTCACTCCCAAACAGACTGAAAAGGTAAATCTCTACTGTGGTATGACTCACTAAAGATTTTCTGCAATGATTTCATTTGAAGAATGAAAGACCTTCCTTTACTTTCTAACTGGAGATTTTATTTTTCCCACAATTAGCCATCAGGTTCTTCTTTTTGAGTTTGCTTTCAAAAATGTGTCCAACTCTAGATGTGTATTAAGATATAGAGACAGACATATAGACTGACAACTTGTGTCTCATATGGTTATTCCTAATTTAATAATTATTCAAATTACATCTAGCCTTTCTAATCCCTTGAAAAATCCACTATCTATAAATAGAAATATTGTTCATTTCAAATGCTTTACACAAAATGCCTCCTATATCATTGTCAGTGCATGTGTGTTAGAGGTTTTCAAGTTTCCACGTCACACAAGTTACATATGACGTCACAAAATCCTGCATGTTCAGGATTTAAGATCACATCTGTTACTGTTGCACGGTGAAGGTCAAATGTCAACGTGAGCTACTTGCATTTTTGAGCAGAGGAATACATCTCCCGTCAAAATCCATCTCATTCCCTGCTTGTGTCTTGGTCTTTGCATTTTGCACATAGTTTGTAACCACTGTGACTGTGTAACTCTTTAAGTTCCTGGAAGAGTTCTTATGCTCAAGAAAAGCAAAACAAGAAAGCATCAGAAAACAAGCTTACAAATGTGAAGGCAACGTGTCATTTTGTAATCAATTTTCTTTTTCAGCTAAACAACAAAGCTAAACAGTCGAGAGAAGCTGCACAGGAGGCTGGTAAGGACAAACAGCAAGTCAAACTGGCATTTCATCTGGGAAGCCATCATAGTTTACCAGAAATCCCTTTTTTTAGGGATGATCGTCACATTAACTTCGCTTTATTGAGCTTTTCGTAGAATTGGATGGAGTATAAAGAGCCATCCATAGTTTGATGAGTGTGACATATGTAAATGGAATATTAAATGTTAAATCAGTTTTATAGAAGGTCTTGATTTACTGTATTTTTTACAGTTAATTCTTTGTCTTTAGAGAAACAGTACAAATCAAACATCGAACAGCTTGAAATGGTCCGTCAAGAATGGGAATCAACACACATTAACATATGTGAGGTAAAGTATGGCACTGGAAGCTGCACTTCTCTTATTCTGTGTATAAAGTGAGGAACATGCAGCACACTATAGCTTAATACATTTTAAAATGTACAGACTTGGACCAAGACTGGCAACACCGGAAGCCTGTTTCGTCAGTGAGGTTGTGTAATAATTTCATGAGCACAGAATAAAGTGAGTCACTATTCTATGAAAATGTTTCGAGGCAACAAAGTCTTTCTACATCTGTTAACATCAACAAAGCAAAGAGGATCTTCATTCATTCCTTTCAGGGCAATTTTAGGTTGTAACGCAGGGAAACGCACACATACATAACACACTGCAGCAGTACAGTGAAAGTACTTTTACAGATTTATCATATTTACAGTCACACCTGTTGTTCTGCAGATGTTTCAACAGCAGGAAGGAGACCGCATCAACATACTAAGGAATGCTTTGTGGGTGCACTGTAACCATCTATCAATGCAGAGCGTGAAAGATGACGAGGTGGGTGCAGCTGCTCCCACACATGTAAACATGTCTGCAAGGCAGTCCTTTAAATATATGTTTTCGTTTTACTCTGGACAAACATCTCTTTCAGTGTTACGAGAATGTGAGGAAAATACTGGAAGAGTGTGACATCATCGCAGACAACAACCATTTTGTCGAGAGTAAACGCACTGGTTCAACCCCCCCAGGTAGGCTCACACCCTGCAGCCTTCCTCATCTGGATTTGAATATGTTCTAAGGGGGAAATCTTAATATTATCTTTAGGCTGCTGCTAAACCATACACCTTTGGCACCTTTTGAAACAAAGTACATTGTGTGTAACAGGCCATTACCCCTGAAGCATTTTTTTTAACTTTACAGATCCAATTGTATTCCAAGATTACTATGAGAGGGATGCTACAGCTGACAGCAATGGCACTGCTGGAATCGCAGGAGTCATGAAAAAGTCAGTTACACTATGGAAAGCACTGTTACCAAATGAAAGTAACACTGGTCTACAGCCAAATGCTTCTCAAACAAAATAACCGATCTTTGCTAATTCTGGGCCACTGAAAATGAAAATGATATCTAAGATTGTTGATTGGCTCTGGTTTATAAGATATAGCACTAGCAATGTATGAATTTTGTGTGAAAGTGACCAAACATTGTCAAATAACAGAAGGAAAGATGTCAGAGCAAAACCAGTAACCAGAATTCTCATGGACAGAACTACTGAACTGTTATCTCTCAGGCAAACCACACCTTTTTTGTATAACTAAGGTGCTTACTACGTTCATACCTCAGCTCAAGACATCAAGTTCTTTGCTGTTTACATTCGCCCAAAATCTATTTTGATGTCAAAAGCTGTCACTTACGTATCTACTATTACCTACCACTACTATTTTTGCAGAAGTGGCTCATGTTTAGATTCTGCGGATCCTTTCTGCCAATTCTGTGCTGACAATTGTGGTTACTTTCTCCGTCTCAAAAGTGAAACATAACACTTGCTGTTCAGAGGGACTGCATAAGGTCATGAGATTGAAGTTTAAAAAATGTATATACATGTACAGCAGCATAAAATGTAAATGGACAAGTGTTTTAAAAACTATAGCCAGTCAGTTCCTTTAAAGGTAATATTTGAATTCAGGATCTCAAAATCCATGAAAACTACTGCTGTTCCATTTGAAAGCCAGTCTAATGAAGATAATAACAATGTTTTCTCCGCTCAATATCTGTACACTTCTGAATACTTTTCTCAATTTGCAGATTTTCAAATCTTCTGCAGGGGAACTGTTCCAGTGGCTCCAAAATGTCGATCAATGAGCCAGCTGCACACCCTATTGGTATGGTACTAAAGTCATTCAAGTAACACTGCAATTTCCAAAATGACGACAGATTGTGAAAGCCACTTCATCTTTGCAACACAAGCTGTGGAGCAACTATAAGTTAACATAGTATAGATTTTATTGCTTATAATCCCCAACCGGGGGACTTGTACTGCAGGGTGCAAGTCTGCACGTGCACAGTGGTGGAAGAAGTACTCAAACTGTATAGCACAGTGTATAAATACTCTGTTACACGTAAAAGCCCTGCTTTTAAAATGTAACTCAAGTACAAAGGTATTAGCATAAAAATATACTTAGTGCCCGAGTTCTTACTCAGGCAGAATGGCACAGTTCACAATGTATCATATAATGTGTATTATTGCACCATAATTATTATTAATGATGTATTATAGTGTATATCATATTTAATGGTGCAGGTGGTAAAGGTGAGCTAATATTAACTACTTTATATGTTTATAATTTTAAGTATATTACATAGGACTGGGTAGTTTGTGAATTTCCCAGCGGGGATCAAGAAAGTCTTATGATTATGCTGTATTTTGTTGTATTAATCTGAGAAATAGTAACTAAAAAAAATCTATTACAATATTGTTCTATCAACATAGTCACTGGTTCAATAAGAAAGTTGCAAATAACGAGTGGCTTCACATAGTAACTAAACCAATGCTGATTATGTCTGCAATCCTCTCATCTCCTCAGCCGACACATCAGGAGTATATGCTACCGTTCCTCAAGTTCAAGTGTCCCAGACGAGCACTGATGAATACAAAGCCATGTATGACTACGTGGCACAGGTCAGCTTCTTGGCTCTGATGTCTAACTCTCTACACGAGACACTTTCAGATGTACTTTTAATTTGTTGACTGTCCTTTCTGTTCCTGTGTAGGGCCATGATGAGCTTTCTCTGTCGTTTGGGGACGTTGTGGTTGTTATAGACCAAGGTCAGGATGGTTGGTGGATGGTGCATAGAAACGGCCTTACAGGACTGGTTCCAGGCTCTTACCTTGCCAAAGAATGAGTTTACCTGACCACCATATCGCGACTACAGTTCCTCATGTAATATTTTGCCTTGCCATTTACTTACAGCTTAATTTTATCACTTGCTCATATTTGCGTTACATACATCCTTTAAAGCGCTTGTGTAGGATTTAATAATGTGTAATTTGGTGTCCCCTAGTGGGAGACATGATAGCAGAGAGTGATGCATGTCATTAACACCCCATAAATTTGACCCTGAAACCCCTCAGAATAAAAGGTTGACACCATTAAACAGATAAATACATTTTTACAACCTATGCAATAAAAACACTCGAACATAAAATCCTACAAACAAGGGCTTTCAGAATGAGACAGTGTTGAACTGTGTATAATGTATTGTTATGGCACATTCACATTACTGTGCCCTTAGTGCTGTTGTGTTGAGTGCTCCTCATACCGGTAACAGCTGGGAGATATACTGGTCTCTCGCACAAGGTCACTGCACCAAGTTTATCCATATACTTTGCTATACAGTGAGGAACAGAAGTATTTGAACACCCTGCGATTTTGCAAGTTCTCCCACTTAGAAATCATGGAGGGGTCTGAAATTCACATTGTAGGTGCATTCCCACTCTGAGACAAAATTTAAAAAAAAAAATTCAGGAAATCACATTGTATGATTTTTAAAGAATTTATTTGTCTTGCACTGCTGAACACAAGTATTTGAACACCTGAGAAACAGCAAGAATGCTGGCTCACAAAGACCTGTTACTGTGCCTTGAAAAAGTCCACCTCTACTCCACTCATTAATCTAAATTAGTAGCACCTGTCTGAGCTCTTTAAAGACACCTGTCCACCCCACAGTCAGTTAGACGCCAACTACTACCATGGGCAAGACCAAAGAGCTGTTAAAAGACACCAGAGACAAAATTGTGGACCTCCACAAGGCTGGAAAGGGCTACGGGGCAATTGCCAAGCAGCTTGGTGAAAATAGATCAACTGTTGGAGCAATTGTTAGTAAATGGAGGAGGCTAAAGACGACTGTCAGTCTCCCTCGGACTGGGGCGCCATGCAAGATCTCACCTCGTGGGGTATCACTGATGATAAGAAAGGTGAGGAATCAGCCCAGAACTACAAGGGAGGAGCTGGTCAATGACATGAAGAGAGCTGGGACCACAGTTTCAAAGGTCACTGTCGGTAGAACACTACGCCGTCATGGTTTCAAATCATGCATTGCACGGAAGGTTCCCCTGCTCAAGTCATCACATGTCCAGGCCCGTCTGAAGTTTGCCAAAGACCATTTGGATGATCCAGAGGAGGCATGGGAGAAAGTCATGTGGCCAGATGAAACCAAAGTAGACCTTTTTGGTCTAAACTTCACTCGTCGTGTTTGGAGGAAAAAGAAGGATGAGTTGCATCCCAAGAACACCATCCCTACTGTGAAGCATGGGGGTGGTAACATCATGCTTTGGGGGTGCTTTTCTGCGAAGGGGACAGGACGTCTGCACTGTATTAAGGAGAGGATAAGTGGGGCCATTTATTGTGAGATTTTGAACAACAACCTCCTTCCTTCAGTCAGAGCATTGAAGATGGGTTGTGGCTGGGTCTTCCAACATGACAACGCCCCGAAGCACACAGCTAGGATAACCAAGGAGTGGCTCCGTAAGAAGCATATCAAGGTTCTGGAGTGGCCTAGCCAGTCTCCAGACCTCAGTCCAATAGAACATCTTTGGAGGGAGCTTAAACTCCGCGTTGCTCAGCGACAGCCCTCGAAACCTGACAGATCTAGAGGAGATCTGTGTGGAGGAGTGGGCCAAAATCACTGTTGCAGTGTGTGCAAACCTGGTCAAGAACTACAGGAAACGTTTGACCTCTGTAATTGCAAACAAAGCTTTCTGTACCAAATATCAACACTGATTTTCTCAGGTGTTCAAATACTTATGTTCAGCAGTGCTAGACAAATAAATTCTTTAAAAATCATACAATGTGGTTTCCTGAAATTTTTTTTTTTTATTCCGTCTCTGAGTGGGAATGCACCTACAATGTGAATTTCAGACCCCTCCATGATTTCTAAGTGGGAGAACTTGCAAAATCGCAGGGTGTTCAAATACTTCTGTTCCTCACTGTATAAAGCTAAAAGCATAAATGGTTAAACAGACAGACTAAACTAACCTCGTGGGAAACACCTGGGCTTCGATCTGTTTTTGACAACAGCCAGTTAATCTTTATCTGCAGGAATAAAACATTCAAACTTTGTCAACAATTCCACCTTTTTGTAAAGGTCTAAAATTTCTATAGAACAGTACAGTAAATCAGAAAACATTTAATTTCAAACTTTCGCCTCATTTATTCCATCCACAATTCTTATAACGGCTACAGTATGTTTTAACATATCAAATTCTAAACTACCATCAGTAGGTTGCTGAGACAAAAACAAACTAAACAGCTATAGGGCAACAATCGATCTTGGGTTAAGAATCTGCATTACAACATAAAATATCCCGCATACTAAAGGGGATTACAAGGGTTGATTCTTAAGAGACATTCAATAAGCAAAAGCCAGTTAAGTTATATAGTTTACACAATACCTGCTGTGCCGTTAACTTGGGTTATTTCTTGACAAAAAATGCTGCAGAAAGGTAAAGTCTTAATTAAAACTGAGCTATATCAGTAGTATTGTAGTGGTAGTAGTAATGATAATGGATGTATTGGGTAAAATTATATAGCTATTCATTCAAGTACATGACAAATTCAAATATAAAATAATATAAAGCCATACATATAGTGCAAACTAACATATGAGGAAATCACCCTGTCCACATTTGACTCTAAATATTACTAACAAAGTTTGTGTTTGGAAAGCTGGAGGACTTCATTCCATCCTCAGGGAACGAGAACGCTTTCTACAACTTATTCTCATTGACCAATTGACAAACTGACAAATTTGGTGATTAGCGTTTGAAAAACAGGTGGATAGTGTGGTTAGTCTGTTTAATGTTAGTGTGGTAATAGATTACTTTCATGCTCTAACCAATGACACATTCGGTCTGAAAGTGTTTTAATATGCTCCTTTATGCAAAGGTGCCCCCTGTAATAAGAAGCTCGTAGGCAGGATCTCTCCTTCTGCGGCACAGCACGACACATGCACAGAGCATCCCCAGCATCTATGAGAAAAAGGAACACACTTCATAGTACTGCTCTGGTTCTTTATATTTATTTATATATATATATATATACATACACACACACACAGTGCCTTGCGAAAGTATTTGGCCCCCTTGAACTTTGCGACCTTTTGCCACATTTCAGGCTTCAAACATAAAGATATAAAACTG